AAGATGATCTATCCTCATGACTGTTCCAGCCTAAAAACACAGAAGAATGCCACATGAAAATGAATTGCTGTTCACTTTAATGTGGGGAAATTATCTTGGTTATGACCAAAAGTATTCAGTCATGGACCGAGTAATAGAACTCAGTTTTATGCTTTGGCAGAATGTTAATAGTATCTTAAGAATTCCTTTGCTTTTCAGGGCTCTCTGCAATCTCAGATTCCCACTCTGCAACTTGGAACTTTCAATTATTTAATAATTGTTTTCATACCATTTTTCCTTCTGTCTAGCATGTGCTGAAAAAGCTTTTGGCTATAACAGAACTGCTTCAACAAAAACAAAACCAGTATACAAAAACCAACGATGTCAGGTAGCAGCCTTCACCAGGTGTTCTGCATGGATTCAGCATGCCCAAGATGGTAATTCACATCATTATGTCTCCTTTGCTCTTGCCAAAAAAATAGCACACCTTTCCACATTCCAGTGATGTGTGAGCTATGCAAACAAAACCAACATTCTGCTGGTGAATAACTATCAGCCACTTTGTAAGCTATCTGTGCAGGATATTTGCACTTTTTCCAGAATGGAATCAATCTTTACCAACCTCTGAGCCTTGGTGTACAGATCACCTCTCACAAAGCAAAATACTATAACTGTATCTTGAACTCTGAAAAATATATTTTAAATACATCCAATTGCCAAAGTTTTGCTGTCTCTTGGAAAAAACTATGAAATCAACTGACAAGAAAAAGCATTCTCTGTTGACAATTGAGTATAACTGGATTGCAGACTGTTCTTACTGTAACTTCTTCCTGATTAGGAATATGACCGTTTGACTGTTCAATGACTTTATTTGTATTTACCGTTTCCAGAGTTTGCCATTATTATAGGAACAATCTTTGTTGTATACTTTTTTTAAAATACTGTGCTCTCTCTCTCTCTTGCTGGAACTGTTAAAAGAAAATATATAGAATGGATCTATTATTGCTCATCAGCTTTATTTTTTAAACATACCACTTATTTTGTTGGAACTGTCAAAAAGTGTATTTAGATCTCATAATGCTTTTTTTAAATGTTTACAACAGTAAATAGTTTGAATTCAGTAAATATAATTGATCATTGTACTGATCAATGCATGTTACCCATTCAACCATTTTATAGGTTACCAATTTATTTTGTTTTAAAAAAAAAGAAAAAAGACTACAATGTTTTTAAGTATTTTGTTCATTAATTCCAGGTTGATTATTTGTATTACTCCTTTGATTATGCAGACAGCCTCATCAACCACTTATCCATCACTGAACTTCTGACTACTTGTTGTATCTGCTGGTTATTTAGTTTGATTGTATAGTTTTATTTGCTCTGTACATGTATTTTTGTGAAGTACTCACAGGGTTAAGTTAAAATAAAACCAAGGGATATATTACATACTTGATTACTTCTGTCTAAATAAAGCTAAGCGTTTGATTTCATTACTTTCTTCCTCCTTCGGGACAGTTCAAAATTTAGCACCAGAGCAAAGAAGATAAAATGCCAGATCAGTATTTTCTTTTATTTTGAGAGAGAAATTTTTGCTGTAGGGCACATGTGCTTTCACCGAAGACACAGAGAGAGAGAGAGTGTGAGAAATCACCCCCCGGGGGGATGGCCACATCCTAATTCCTTCTCCTTTAATCTCTTCCCGGAATTTTGAGCACACATGCCTATCCGGCATGAGTTTTAAGCCGCTAGGTCTGGGACTTGAACCGCGTTTGACTACGTGAGAGTCCAGTGGTGTAACCATTAATGCCATTCACTGGTCCCCAGATCAGTATTTTCATTAATGGTCTCTTCTAAAAGGATTTCACCTATTCACTTATTCTATATTTGTTAAGTAGTGATTCTTTCCCTTTCATAATTATGTTGGGAAGAAACATCAGGTCAGTATTTTCATTAATGGTCTCTTTCAAAAAGGGTTTCCTTCATTCATTCATTCTGTATTTGTCCCTTTCATAAGTATGTAGGAGAGAGAAGACATATACAAAGTATGTAGCCAAAGTATCACTAGTAATCAAAGTGGGTGAGAAAGGGACCAAGTATTATGAAAACTAGTCCCCGCAGTAAAGAAAAAATTTTCCATGGCCTAGAGTTCAAGAGTCATACTTTACTCATTTGATGTATAAAATACAGGTTTAAAAAAATGAAGGGTTTAAATTTTAAGGAGGCAGCTAGCTTCATGTTACAGGTTCAATCATACTAAAAAACACAACACATCCCGTGTTCCTTTTCTGTGGTATCAACTTGGTTTCTTCCATGTTTTTCCCCTTCTCTATATATTCCTTTCCTTTCTTTTCTATCCCTCCTGAACTAGCTGAACTACCACAGAAGTATTACAGTAGTTCTCTTGTTGGTTTATAGGACTGAAGATATACTAGAAGGGATAAGGATCAGTGATACTCCCTAAATGTTTTAATAGGCAAAAAGGACAAAACTCTAGTGCTATGCATTTTGGTCCTCCACTATACCTCAAAGCATCTGCTTTTATTAAAGTTTGTATTTTAATGAGGTTTGTCTCAAGTTAGAGTGGGAAATTTGTCACTTTCTAGGCCTTGCAGCGACTACCTTGTCAGTGTCACAATATCACAAATATTTTTGTCTGGGTCCAACTATGTCACTATCTTTCTGCCTCAGCCTCTCAAGTAGCTGTGACGACAGACATGCCACCTTGCCTGGCTTTTCTGGTGGACCAAGAATTTAATCCAGACCTCTCGTGGCTCCTTAACAGCTTCTCAACCAGAACTGGACTTCAAACAATTTTTTTTTAATAGGCTTGGGTGGGATAATTTTCAGAGATAAGTATGGACCTTGCTCTGATGCCAATGTTTGGTGATCTGAAAGGGAGGAGATAAAACTGAACATTCTCAGTTCTCTGTAAGAGTCTAGGACCCATGCTACTAAACCTGGAATACACTGGAAGGATTATAAGCTTTGGTTTTTGCTACTTTTTTAAGTTTCTTATTTCTTTTTTGTGGAGAGGTTTTTTTTTTCCCTAAAGGGCACGTGTGCTCGCCAGAAAGACAGAGAGTGAGAAATCACCCCCCAGAGGGGATGGCCACGCTGCAATCCCTTCTCCTCCATTCTCCTCTCTAGATCTTGGGCACACACGCACACACACCCAGCATGAGTTTAACCCACCAGGTCTAGGACTCAAACCACAGTTGACTACGTGACAGTCCAGCAACATAGCCATTATGCTAACTTCTGGTCCCAAAGTTTATTGTTTCTTCTGAGAGGAGGGAAGGACAGGTACTCCCCACCACCACTACCACCAACACCACGAGTCTCCATGCCGTGATTCACCCTCAACTACCTAGACTCTAAGCATGTATGCATGCCTCATGTAAAGGGAGGCAAGGGAGTGCAAACCCAGTACCTTCCCATCTGGGTACTGTTGTGTTGCCACTGTGTGACCACCCATTCTTTCTTTTCTATTTTATATTTTTGGCATAGGGTGCATGCACTTGCCAGAGAGACAGCAGGGGAGAGGGTAGTGAGAAATCATCCCAAAGGGGGAGGGGCCATGCTGCAATTCCTTCTCCACTATCCTCGGCGTTTTGGGCATGTTTGCATGCATGCCCAGTGTGATTCTCAAGCCACTGGGTCTGAGACTCAAACTGAAGCTGGTCATGTAGGATCCAGTGGCCCTTCACCTTGTTTTTACAAAATAAGAATTTTATTTCCCTCATTCCAGAATGATGAAATAAACAAAAAATTACAAATGAAAAAAAAAGGGTGTTGCCTAAAATATAAAGAGTTGTTAGATTAAATATACCTATATAGTAAAACCTGCCCTGAAATGTCAAGATATAATTAGCATGGTACCTACCCTCATGAAAAGCACAGCCTAGGTTGTACCAACTGAAGAGGTGTACATTCATACAACTTAACTAGATTCAGAGCAGGGGAGTTTCCCAGAATTTCTTTTACGCTGTTTCCCAGAAAAAAATTTTGCTTGATACACAAATGACTATACAATTTAGTTCTAACTATAATAGTTAAGATATGAAAACTTAATAGTATCTTTGCACTATTCTGTTTTCCCCACTTTCAGCTTGGGAAACTGGCACACATAGGTTTAATAATTTACCATGGTCACATGGCAAAGGAGAGGAAGCCATGCTTCACACCCTAGTATTTTGGTGTCATAGTCTGCACATTTATATATTGTTACATTTCAATTTAAGTTTCTTGAATATGTTAATATGAAAAATTCCTAGTAACTATAACACCAATTTATATGGATTAATTTGTACGTGACCTAATAGGTTAGCTGTAAAACTAGCAGATGGCATAATGATTAGTTACATCACTGGACTCCCACATAGCCGACTGCCCTGAGTCCCAGATCTAGAGGACTGAAACTCATGCCAGACACGTGTGTGCGCATATGCACCCAAAATCTCAAGGGGAGAATGGAGGAGAAGGGATTGTGGAACGGCCACCCCCTCCCAATTTCTTGTTTTCAGCTTCTCTGTCCCTCTGTTTCTGGCGAATGCATGGGCACTATATCAAAAATCTGACTAAAAAAATAACCTGAATATTACTTTACTACTACCTTCTTCTCTATAGCAACTTAAGAGTTTTAGAGACTACTCAAGATCTGCATCCTTTTAAACCCATTTGGAAATGTTTCCTGATAAATTATTAATGAAAACAAATGCTCATCACCCAGGATGACTAGCTTCCAGTACCATATATCCACTGAGTAGTAATACACTAATAGCTAAGTATATCATGATGGCATTTCAAGTTATTTATAAAGTTTTTAGAAGGCACATTCACACTTTTAAAGCTGACTACTAAAGTAGTTTTTTGAGGTGTCTTTTTCCAAAAAGGATAGGTTTTGTTATCACATTTTGTTGAAGATAATATAGGTAAATTACAGCTTTAATTTGGCTATCAGAAAAAAAACTAACTTGACAGTCATGATGGGGCAAGATGAGTCAAACCAGATGATATTGTGGTTCCTTTGAAGATATTTTATATAAAGCTATCATGAAAGGAAAATACTTTAACAAGTAGAAAAGTTTAATATATATTTTGATGTATTTATATTATACTTTCTAAATAAAATTAAATACCAGACATGTTTCCTATTCTGTTGATTAGTTAGCATTGGCAGATCAATTTCAAATAGTTAGAGAGAATCTACCAGGTCGTCATCAGTCCATTCTTCCTAAGGAGGGAAAAAAAGAAATGTAGTAAGGATAACACATTGAAGTATGACCTGTATGGCTTACCTCCTTGCCTCCCTTTAGGAAAATGTTATCCTTTTACAACTCAACTATGCTGATTACTGAAGATGAATCAACCCGGAAAATTTGCAGTAGTTCAATCTAACAGTAATAATGGCAGTCTCAGCAGACTACTCTAATGAGGAATAAAGGTTACATTTGTGACCTTCTGATTATATGTTTATCTCTGGCTTGCCAGGTAAAGCTTTAAGAAAGGGACAAGGGAAGAATGCTTGAAGAATAATAAAGCAAAATTTTAGCACAGATGTATTCCTCTGCTGATGTCTCAGAACACAAGGAAAGATTCAAGTAACTATTGTACTGCTTCAGAACAGGTAAGATAGAAGCAAGAAAACAAAAAAATCCTTAGTAATGAATAATGTACAAAAAGGATACAAAAATTAAAAGATTTTAAAAACCTACATTGCTATCTATAATGCCTGTACTCTGGAATAACAAATCTCAACAGTATGGTGACACTAAAATGTGTAACAAAAATAAAGTACCCTTAAACATACCTCTTCATGTTTGGATTTCTTTGAGACATAATCATCATCTTCATAGCCTTTCCTCTTTTTCCTATAATTAAGGAACCATCAGTAAGCAATCCAGTACTTGCAACAGAAACTATAAAATAGCTAAGACTATACTAGCAAGGCTACATGAAACAGAAGAACAAGGCCTGGATTAATGGAAATAAAGAGTTACAGATTAGAAGACAATACTTTTCAAATTAATCCTTAAATGCAATTCTAATTTAAATCCCCACAAAATTTTGCACAGAACTTACCAAATCCATCACCAAACCAAGAAAAGATTATGAAAAAAACAGCAAAGGAAATCTAAAAATGAGTAATTTTGGGGATCTTGTCATAGTTATCATCAAATCACACTATAAAAGCTATTTCCTTTTCTTTATTCATGACAGACCATGTGCACTCACACAGAAGTTAAGGGGAGCATCCTTCACAGGTGACTATGCCATGACCCCTCCTTCTGACACTCATCTACCCTATATCTCAGGCACTCCTGCAAGTGCCCAGTGTGTTTTAGGCCGGGGCTTCAAACCTTGGTTGTTATGTGATATCCAACTTCTTTTGAGCAATACATTACCACTATGCCACAAAGCCTGGCCCAGCTATTAAAACTATGGTGTATGGAGGTCAGTCACGTGGATGGATCTATATGGTGTACTCTGTGGTTCAAGTCCCAGCCCCAGAGGCTTGAAAATCATGTGTGCATGTGCAAACTCAAGAGGAGATAAGAGAAGAGACTGCAAAGTGGCCATCACCACCTATGGGGTGATTTCTCACTTTCCTTCTCTTTCTGTCTGTCTCGTGAGCACACCCCCTATATCAAATTTTAATTTAAAAAAAATTAAATGTGGTATTAACAGAGATCAGTGATTAGGAGGTGACACGCAAGGAATGACTATATACACATTAATTTAGTGTATGATTAAAAGTATTTCAGGTAACTAGAAAAAATATTCAAAAACAATCTAAAAATGGGCATTTGAAAAAATTATCTCTGCCTCACACCATTCACAAACAATTCTAAGATTTTTTATTTTTTTAATGAAAAGTTAGGGTGCATGCGCTCGCCAGAAAGACAGAGACAGACAGACAGAAAGCAAGAAATCACCCCCCAGGAGGATGGCCACGCTGCAATCCCTTCTCCATTCTTTCGGGATCTTGGAAATACACACACACATGCCCAGTGTGAGTTCAAGACACCGGTCCGGGACTCCAACCACAGTCAGCTACATGAGTCTAGTGACACAGCCATTATGCCAACTGCTAGTCCCCTAAGTTGTTTTAATAGTTGTTAAACAAAAGACAAATACTGATTAAAGAAAAGGCAGATATAAAAACAATGATTTTATATTAAAACCCCAGCTCTATCATATATAAAAAAGATGAATACATACAATAGGTAAGAGACAAATGAAAATAATGGCCAAAAAACTGGGCAAAGATTATGAATAAACAATATAAAATACAAATGACTATCCAAAAGCATGGAATCATCAGTCCAGCAGGTGGTGTGGAGGTTATGGCCAAATACATAGTTCAAGTCCAGATCCAGCAGTTTAAAAATCACACTGGGCATGTGTGTGTATATGCCCAAAATCCTAAGAAGAGAATGGAAAAGAATGGATTACGGCATGGTCATCCCACTGATGGATGATTTCTCAGTTTCTCTGGCAAAGGCACATGCAAACTAAAAAAATAATTTAAAAAAAAAAAAGAAGGAAACAAATGCCTCATAATAATCTGGGAAATGCAAATTAAAATAGCATATTGGTACTATTTTTTCACTCAGACTGGCAAAAGTTAAGGGTTAAGAATACAGTCAATTATATATATATAAATATAAAAACAGTAAAGAAAAAACAAAAATTTATTTCATATATACATATACACACTTTGGTAAAAAGTAGAGAACTATTTTTAAGGTCATGACTGAGACTTCAGTTTTAGTCAAAGGGAACTTTGATTTTTACCTGAAGTGATGGACTCAGTCAGACACAGTTTTTGTGTAATGAAAAATAATTTTAAAGATCAAAGAAAACGCATTTTGTCCTAAGAGTACTACTCTTAGTGTGCTTAGTCCTTACTACAAGACTACATTGAGAAAAGTACATAAATTATGTCTTTAGGAACTTACATAGCAACTGGACAGAAATATTTTATGATTTGATTCTAAGAAAACAAAATGAGCTTTAATTTTTGTACATCTTTTATTTATCTCATTTAAGAGCTTTTTATTGAATTTTATAAAAGTTTATGTCTAATGAATTTCTTAGAATAGCCCTTCACAGAAAATTTGAAAGCCATCCCTCAATGTATAGAATTTACTTAGCATACTACAAGGTAGGTCTAACTAGGAATAAAATGTACACTCTGGCAATTAGGAATTTTGGATTATATTTCATTTTGTTATTTACCTACAGACTAAGGTTAAGTATTTAATGGTCTAATCCAGAGATTAATAATTTACTTTAAGCCCTTCTAGTCAGTCACTTTTTGTCACAATTATCCAGCTTTTCGGCTCCAACATGAAAACAGGTATAAATAATACATAAACAATGGGTGTGGTATCTACCAAAAACAACTACAAGAAAATTGTATTTCTAAACAAGTGGTGGGCATGGTTTTGCCACACCTGGTCTAAGCCTATTTCTTTATTCATAAAAGTTATTTCTTTTTTTGGTTAATTTGCTATATATGGCATATGTGCTCACGAGAGAGAAAGAGAAAGTGAGAAAACACCCCCTGGGGGGGATGACCACACATCAATCCCTTCTCCATTCTCTCAGGATCTTGCATGTATGCTTATACATGGCTACCCTGTTTGTCAAGCCGCTAGGTCCAGGACTTGAACTGAGTCTTGTGGGGTCCAGCTGTTACTTAGCATACTACAAGGTAGGTCTAACTAGGAATAAAATGTACACTCTGGCAATTAGGAATTTTGGATTATATTTCATTTTGTTATTTACCTACAGACTAAGGTTAAGTATTTAATGGTCTAATCCAGAGATTAATAATTTACTTTAAGCCCTTCTAGTCAGTCACTTTTTGTCACAATTATCCAGCTTTTCGGCTCCAACATGAAAACAGGTATAAATAATACATAAACAATGGGTGTGGTATCTACCAAAAACAACTACAAGAAAATTGTATTTCTAAACAAGTGGTGGGCATGGTTTTGCCACACCTGGTCTAAGCCTATTTCTTTATTCATAAAAGTTATTTCTTTTTTTGGTTAATTTGCTATATATGGCATATGTGCTCACGAGAGAGAAAGAGAAAGTGAGAAAACACCCCCTGGGGGGGATGACCACACATCAATCCCTTCTCCATTCTCTCAGGATCTTGCATGTATGCTTATACATGGCTACCCTGTTTGTCAAGCCGCTAGGTCCAGGACTTGAACTGAGTCTTGTGGGATCCAGCTGCCGTAACTACACTACTTTGCTGGCCAAAGTCAGTATTTCTTTACTTATCTATAACTACATATCTATAATCACATTCCTGTTGGTTATTACTGAAACCTAAGAAGGCAATCTACTAATTTCAAGTTCTATGTTAAGCCATGCTTTGCAGTTACAGTTATGAATATAATGAAATATTCCCACATTTTGAAACTGAAAGACCTTGGATATTCCTCTACTAGAACTATTAGTTAAGTAATTTCAGTCAAGAGACTTCAGTGAAGGCCCTAGAATACTGTTCTGGCTTCTCATATACATTCAGTAGCATATATTCATTGGTTATAGAGATCAAAATATCTCAAATGCACCTTAACTTTAATAACGCCACAATTAACTCCCATTAAATGTTAACAGATAAGGCAGAACTGAATCAGATCACACTCCACAAAACTGAAAATACTAGTTTCACCATTCTATTACCGGCCCAAATCTCTTAACCGCTTATACTCCTGAAAGAGAATTTAGTGGCTCTTTCAATTTGCAAAGACAGTACAAATATTATGGTGCTTTTCACATTCAGACTGCAAATCAGTTAGACAGTAAGGGTGTTCATATGGCTATAAGAAGATATATGAGCATATTTTCCTTACTGGTTCTGTTGTCATTATAAAGTTAGTCACTGGAAGAAAAATATACCAAGTGTCCCCACTCTAGAAAACAGAATTAAGTCTGAAACAGTAAACTTGTTTCTCAGATTAAGACAGCTCACTTGAAAACAGGCCAAAGATTAAAAGGGCAAGTAGTTTAGGGATTCCCTGTGGAATCAAGGACCTCAACTCCTTGAGGTCTCATGACAAACAACACAACCGGACAAGGCCTGCAGGCCAGAGAACACATTAGTTATCGCAGGATCAGAACTGCACAATTAAAGCAAAACTATTACCTTGTGTTTAATCTTGTTAGAAACTGACTAGTAAATATCATAATTATAACAATTAGGTAAATCAGTTTCCCCAGGTGAAAAATTCTCAGTGAAATTATTTATTTGCAGGACCACTTGGATTAGACAACAGTTCTATCTATTCTTGACTAACATCATCACAGCTACTTACGTAATTATGTTAAGTGCAAGCTCAGCAGAATGACACCGCTCCAACTTCTGTTTTAGTATAGTAACGTCTTCAGATCTGGGTGGTTCATACTTTTTTACTAAGTTTCTCATGCCTATATGCAGATAAAAAAGGATTTAGACTGAATAATAAAAAGCCTTATTCTCATAGCAAGTGAGCTAAATAATTGCCTATCTTATTATAGAAAGCAACAGCACACTCTTGAAGTGACATGATTATTAGGATTTGTATCATTCTGCATTAAAATCCAAGAAATACCATATTTTTAGTTCAAGTAATTATGGTTATCTGCTTAGCTCATAGTAAATACAGTATAAAGATAAGAATGCTGTATATGACCTGGCCAGTATTAATTTTTTGCAATTTTTACCAGGGTCACTTTTCCTGTTTAAGGCTTTAAAAAAAAATTCCTACAAGATTCAGTGATCATGCATTTGTTCCCTGCCACTAATCATACTCAAACATTCTATCCTATAGATGGTGGACCAAGAGTGTACATATATTTACAAAGGAAACCCTTATTACAAAACAAGTAGTAAAGGGAAGATACTTAGTAAAAATTAATCAATGATATTTTGCTTTAACAAAATGCAAATTCTAAACAGAAATGTCCTCTTTAAAAGCAAACAATGGTAACTATAATTGCAAAAATATCCTTAGTTGATCTTGTCTATTATTCAACTATAATAAACCAAAGAATATAAATATCAAGATTTTCAAGAATGACAAGAAATCCAGAACTTACTATGATCCAGCCATGTGCTTCACATTGGTAACTATACTACTGACATATTTCACAATGCAAATACAGCAATGTTTACAACTGAATTAGTACTTGTGACTCAACATCCTTAGTACCCTATGTTCTGAAAAATTATGACTATCTCAGCATCAATAAAGTTCTCTTATTTTATGAAGAGCTATTATTATTTCAAGTTAATGTAAGTGAAACAAAACTGTACTGAGATAAAATCTCTAATAAAATAATAAAACTCTAAAAGACATAAAGTGAGTACAGTGGATTTTCTTTAGGCTCCTTTAAATTCTGATCCTAATATCTATAGCCAAATCACAATTAGCTTTGAAAGTGAACCCTCTAGTGGTATAACTGAAGACCTACAATATATGATTCATAAATCACAAATCTGTTCTCAAAGAGGGAAGCCCTCAAGATCACTTTGAGAATCATGAAATACCTACATGCCCTGAAGTGTCTTAATTTCTAAAACATAAAAATGTATACCTACTTACTATCATCCAAGATCAAGATGTTCAACTTATATGTTATTGATTTATTCAATATTTAATTTTACTATCCAAAATCAAGATCTTCAATCTTATACTTAGATTTATTCACTATTTAATTACAAATTTATTTAATGAGAACAATTGGCACACAAAGGTTTGGGAACAAAAACAACTGGGTTTTAACTCTAAAAAGTAACCTTGCAGCCATAAGCATTCAGTATGCCATGGGCAAGAATGAAGAATGGAGAGGACTGGCAATCCAGTCAAGTCGTTAAGTGGAGATTCAAGCGTAAAACAGGGCCTCTTGGGACCAGCAGATGGTCTAAGGGTTACGTTGCTGGACTCCCTCGCAGTCGACCACAGTTCAAGTCCCAGAACCAGAGCCATGAAACTCATGCCAGGAGACCAGCAGATGGCTTAATGCTTACATCCCAAGAGGAGAATGGAGAAGGGACAGCGATGTGCCATCCTCCTTGGAAGGTTGTTTTTCACTTTCTTTCTCTCTCTCTGTCTCTCTGGTGAGTGCATGCACCCTACAACAAAATTCTCCCCAAGAAAAAAAAAGAAAACTCACAACGGGGACATTGTGTGTGCCCCCCCAAATCCCAAGAGAATGGAAGAGGGGGGACTGCAGCATGGGGAGGTAGGGGTGTGATTTCTCTCTTTCTCTCTCTCTCTCTGTCTCTCTCTAGCAAGTGCGCATGCCCTTGAGCAAAAAATCTCTCAAAAAAAATACCATCACCACCAACAGGGCCTCTCAATAACAGCACTAATGACATTTTGAACTGGAAAATTCTTTGTTGTAAGGCTATTAAAATTATCACAAATTGGGACCAGCAGTTAGCGTAATGGCTATGTCACTGGACTCCCATGTAGTCGACTGTGGTTTGAGTCCCAGACCCAGTGGCTTAAACTCATTCAGGGCGCGTGTGTGTGCGTGCCCAGGATCCCAAGAGGAGAATGGAGGAGAAGGGATTGCAGTTTGCCCCCCTGGTGGATGATTTCTTGCTTTCTGTCTCTCTGTCTCTGTCTTTCTGGCGAGCGCACTCACCCTATAGCAAACACCTCTCAAAAAAAAAAAAAGGAAAAAAAAAATTATCACAAATTAATGGCTCAAATCATCAGAAATGTATTCTGTCTGAAGTCATTTTCACTGAGCCCAAATTAAGGTGTTCACAGAGTTATTCTTTCTCTGGAGGCCCTGGGGCAGAGGGGTATCCATCCCTTGCCTATTTCAGCTGCTGACAGCTGCCAACATCTTCTGGCTTATAGCCACATCACTCCAATTTTCAAGCCCAGCATGTTTAAATTCCTACTGTTTTTTTTTGTTTGTTTGTTTGTTTTTTTGGGTTTTTTTGGGGGGAGAGGTATTTTTATTTATTTATTTTTTTTTTTTTTTGCTATATGGCATGTGCGCTCACCAGACAGAGACAGAGAGACAGAAAACGAGAAATCACGCCCCAGGGGGGATGGCCACGCCGCAATCCCTTCTCCTCCATTCTCCTCTCAGGATCTTGGGCACGCACGCACATGTGCCTGGCCTGAGTTTTAAGCCACCGGGTCCAGGGCGCGAACCGCGGTTGACTACATGGAAGTCCAGCGACATAGCCATTATGCTAACTGCTGGTTCCAAATTCCTACTGTTTTAACATTTTCTTCTTAGGTATGTGAAATCTCCCTTTATCTTTCTAAGGAATCTTCTGACAGCATTTTATCCTCAACATAACAATCTCTTAACTAACTACAACCACCCTCCTCCAGTCACTTTATTTTTTGCATGTAAGGTACCATTCACAGGTTCAGGGATCAGGGTAGGTACATATTTAGGAAGCCATTATTCAGACTCCCACATGGGAAGCTGTAGGATGTTTAGTACCATTCTTACCTCCACCCACTAGATAACAACAGTTACCACCACTCTCCAAGCTTTGACAGCCAAAACTGTCTCCAGATATTCCAGAAATCACCCATGATTAATAATTAACTTTGTAATATCAACTAACAAAATGACTAGCAAGTAATATGTAATAACTAGTTAAAACTGATTTTTCTATAAAACAGAAGTTCCAACCTTAAACATCATCCTTAGTTTCCTTCAGATATTTTTCAGTGCCTATCATGTAGTTATATATACCATTTTATTATTTTGGTTTTGCTATAAGGCACAAGTGTTTACGGGGAGTAGGGAAGAGAAAGTGAGAAATTACCCTGACCAAGGGTAATGATCATGCTGCAGTTTATTCTCCATTCTCCCTCAGGATTTTGGCCACGCGTGCACACACGCAGCTGGTGTATTTTCAAGCCGCCAGGTCGGGAACTTGAACAGTGCCGATAGCCATGTGGGATCTAGTCCCCTTTACCTCCATGCCTCTTAAGAATCCCATTTTGAATCTAAATCCTTCTTGAACCTAATTATATTTTCCTCCTTCTGGTAACTTCTACTTATGTGATGACTACTTCTTTCCATGTACTTTCTATTCTCTACAAGTCTATCTTTCATGATTCCATGATACAATGGTTCAATGAAAGAAAATCTAAACAACATGTGTTATCTCCAGTTAAATACCAAGATGATATTTACTTAGAAATGAGTTCTGTAATGGAACATTTTGTTAAGTGCTCTCTTTTACTTACTTTTCATTATATCTAGTAACTGTGACAAGCAAGTTCTGTTCTCTCTGAGCATCAGACTCTCTGATAAGTAACTGGTGAAGAAATAAAAAAGTTTTTATTGAGAACATACAGCATATTGCCAAAACATGATATCACTAAGTAATTTTACTCTGTGTCCTCTTTATGATCATAGACGATTTTAAGATTAATTTCTTTTTTCTTGAGAGTACTTTGCTATAGGGCACATGCAGTCTCCAGAAAAACAGACAGACAGAAAGCAAGAAATCACCCCCCACAGGGGATGACCACGCCGCAATCCCTTCTCTTCCATTCTCCTCTCTGGATCTTAGGCACGCCTGCGTACGCGTCTGGTGTGAGTTTAAGCCACCTGGGACTCAAACTGTGGTCAACTATATGAGAGTCCAGCGACATAGCCATTACTCGAACTGCTGGTCCCTTAAGATTAATTTATTTTAAAAGTATTACATGACAGTTTGAACTCCATGAAAATTTCATTTACAACTCTAACAGCCTTAAGGACTTATTACCACTTAAATTAAAAGCTATTTGTTGTTCAAAGTCAATTTATCTAAATTTAATAACAGATAAGCTCTCAGAGTGAAAATAGTACAGAAAGAACATTTATGTGAAGTATTTAATATAAAACGTTATGAGTCTAACCTCATTTTACAGATGAAGAATCCAAGTTACAAGGACAAATATGTCATGACCTATAACTTGCTCAAAGTCATAAAGCTGAAATTTGACACTTGTAAGGATTCTCTCCCCTCATTATCAAGGCCATGTTACTTACAATGTCACTTCTTGAGAATAACAGGCAAACCAGTGAGACTATTACCTCATGTTTCATAAACCTATTACAACTTATTTGCATCAAGTACAAATCAAAGGTGTTAATACCTTTCCTCAACATGATATAAACCCCAATTACCTGTTTTTCTTTGAACCACTGATAGTATAAAAATAGGAGTAATTTCTATAATTTAAATTTTTTTAATACTTATTCATTTTATTTTTTATTTATTCATTCACTTATTTTTTTAATTTGACCAGAGAGAGACAGAGGGTGAGAGTGAAAGAGAGGAAGTGAGAAAGCAAGCCACCAGATTCAGGACTCGAACCCTGGTTGGGCATGTGGGAGTGTCCGCTGCCTTAACCACCACACCACCTGCTGGTCCCCTATAATTTAAATTTTTAGTTACTCTGAGACTTTATGTACCTGAACTTGATCTGTAATTGATAAAAGTCCAAGTTAACCAATTCTTAAAAGTAGTAGTCTTTCCAATATACATGCAAAAAAAATTTTTTTTCCCTTGGGTGAGATAGTTACAAAATTAGAAGACAATGTTTTAAGAATTTTTGTTGCTATGCATCTTTTATACTGTCCATATTATTTAAGTTAATTACTTTTAATAACTAAGTTTTATGTTTTATCTTCATAATCTACTGTGGGAATTAACTTTGGATACAGAAATCAATAACAACAAATCAATTTCTGATTATAAGTAATTCAAAATATCTAAATTAGTTTTCCTAAAATATCTTCCTATTTTTCTTTCTCTTTTCAATTCCTGGGAATAAGAGTGACAATATGGTTCTCAGAGGTAACTGATCAAAATCTTAATCTCTGAAAATTTTTAAATTAGCAACCTTAATCTTGAGCCTTTATTAAAATTTTAACATTTTGATTTTTTAAAAAACTCTCAGGCAAGTGGTGCCTGAAGAGTCAAACTAGCAGGTGAGAAATAAACCTCTAATTCCACAAAAAAGGGAATAGAACTCAGGAATAACAAAACATTATGATAATAATTTGAAGCATCATCTAGAATATGACAACAGCACAAAGATTTTCCCTTTTTGAAATCAGCAATAAATGTAAGGACAATCTCCATCTATTCCAAAAGTTTGCCTGCAAATGAGCTGTAAACTGAAGATGATTGGAAAGCATTTCCCTATAGAAAAAAAATGCCCAAATTTCTACAGTTCCTGACAATGCCTTTTTAATCTGCATTGAGCCCAAAGCAGTACAATTCCCATTTTGCCTATCTAGAATTATAACTAAACTTGTAAAATAAAATAAATTTTAATAATTAAATAATTTTAATAAATAAAAATCCTTCATTCCACTCTACCTATATAATATATATTAGGTCATCAGAAAAGTCAAGACACATTTTTGCACAGAAAAATAGATCATGACTTTTCTGAAGACCCAATAACTAAAATCTCACCACTGGCAAACTTACATATATAATGTATTAGAAACTAATCGACATATTAAATTTTTGGTTATTTAAACTGTGAAAACAAGGGCTTATTTCCCAAATAGAATAGAAATACCACACCTAAACTACATAGACATCAATTATTTATGTGGCTATCTTTACTAAGGAAGGGATTTTTATCTTGTTCATTTTTATATTTCTTTTTCTTTTCTTTTTTTGGAGAGGTTTTTCTTATTGGGTGCATGCGCTCGCCAGAAAGTCAGAGAGAGCCAGAGAGATAGAAAGAGAGAAATCATCCCCCAGTGGGGATGGCCACGCCGCAATCCCTTCTCCTCCATTCTCCTCTCGGGACCTTGGGTAGGCACGCACACACACCCGGCTTGAGTTTAAGCCACCAGGTCCGAGACTCGAACCGTGGTCGACAACATGGGAGTCCAGCAACATAGCCATTACGCTAACTGCTGGTCCTGTTCATTCTTTCATTTCTAAAGTATAGTACAGTGCACAGTAGTACATAAAAGACACTCAAGAAATGGAGGAGTAAATCACTTTGGCACTAAACGTATATGAGTATACAGTATACATTTGGTTGATGGAGATGTGTTTGTCAAGAGACATACTATAAATAAAACACAACCCCTTTTCTGGAATACAGATGTTTTCTAAAGTTCATAATTGTTTATATCCTAGAAAAATAACCTGGCCTTTATACTATAAAATGTGAAATAACCTAGTGGTATCTAAAGCAGTATCCCATAATCATGAATATTATTATTTCTGCAAGGAAACAAATATTTCTATTAGACTGAATAAAAACTAAACCACACCTAGTCATGTTCACTGCTACCTTATCAATGATTTTTAAAATATGATTAGGAGAGTGTAGACTTTAAGTTTAGGGAAATTTTTTTTTTTCCCCAATTGCTAGAGGGTGCAGGAGCTCTTCAGAGAGACTGAAAGCACTCCTACACAATATGGTCAAAATGTCATCTGTTTTCCTTCCTTTCTTAATCCCATCACTATTTGGGGCATGCATGCACATGCACCTAGTGTGTTTTTCAAGCCATTGGGGCCTGGACAGAACTGAAGTTGGTCATGTGGGACTTAGCTCCCTATGCACAGAGTTTAAGCACTGTGCTGTGGGGATAGCCCTAACATTAGAAAGTTTTATCATCTATCTTCTTCAGGTATTTTAAGGAATGAAGTCACACAGAACTATGAAGGTCATAAATAGAGAAATCAAATGTAGAAACTAAAAAATCATTTAATTTGTTGCTAGCCTGTACTTTAGTTACAAATAAATATGATAATGAGTATAACAACATGTAAACCAGTCTGTGAAAAAAATGTTACAAGAATCAACTGAATTGGGAACCAGCAGTTACGTAATGGCTATGTCGCTGGACTCCCATGTAGTCGACCACGGTTCACGTCCCAGACCCGGTGGCTTAAAACTCACGCCGGGCGCGTGTGCGTGCATGCCCAAGATCCCAAGAGGAGAATGGAGGAGAAGGGATTGCGGCGTGACCATCCCCCCTGGGGGGTGATTTCTCGTTTTCTGTCTCTATGTCTCTGTCTGTCTGGCAAGCGCATACGCCCTATAGCGAAAATATCTCCAAAAAAAAAATAATCAACTGAATTTAGCTCATGTAAAATGCTTATCACAGGACCTAGTTCTCGATGTACATACATTACTATTTACAATAAAACTACAGTTCATTTGGATACCCACAGGAAGAATGATAAAGCAGACATATTTGCTACACTCTAGTTGCTTAATAGTTTGTAAAATTTTAATATTTGAGGGACCAGCAGTTAGCATAATGGCTGTCACTGAACTCCCATGTAGTCGACCACAGTTCAAGTCCCAGACCCAGTGGCTTAAACTCATGCCGGGTGCATGTGTGTGCATGCCCAAGATCCCAAGAGAAGAATGGAGGAGAAGGGATTGCAGCATGGCCATCCCCCCTAGGGAGTGATTTCTCACTTTCTGTCTCTCTGTCTCTCTCTGTCTTTCTGGCGAGCGCAGACACCCTATAGCAAAAACCTCTCCAAAACAAAAATAATAATTAAAACAAAAAACAGGAGAAGGGAAAATAAAAAAAACCTTCAATATTTGATATATACCAACAGCTATCTAAGATTTTCAAGGATCACCCTTTACTTCTACTTTAGGTGAGCTCAACAATATTTTGCTTAAATTTAAAACCTTAAAAGAGTGATTTCATTTCTTCTCTTTCAATTAGAAGGGATAGTAAGAACCACCATTACAAATAAATTATCTCAATGAAAAACTCAAAACTCTACGAAGGAGTAAACTGAGTGATAGATTTGATCCAAGACAAAACACAAATTAATACCTTTCCATAGTAATTCCAGCCCGGGAGGCACTAGATAAAATAGCAGTGAGGGCAATTTGGGAAGGTGTGTATAAAAGGTAAGCATCCGTCAATGCAATTCTATTAAGAAAGTCATCAGCTGTTTTTCTCAAAATCTCTGGATTCTCCAACATGGGATAGCGAGTCTAAAAAGAAAGTTTGCATATGTTACCATTTCTGAGGACTTAATGAAGTACAACAGCTTAAAAATACTTACATTAGGGAACCAGCAGTTAGCATAATGGCTATGTCGCTGGACTCCCACGTAGTCGACCGCGGTTCGTGTCCCGGACCCGGTGGCTTAAAAAAAACTCACGCCGGGCGCGTGTGCGTGCGTGCCCAAGATCCCAAGAGGAAAATGGAGGAGAAGGGATTGCGGCGTGACCATCCCCCCTGGGGGGTGATTTCTCGCTTTCTGTCTCTATGTCTCTCTCTGTCTGGCGAGCGCACGCGCCCTACAGAGAAAATCTCTCCAAAAAAAAAATACTTACATTAAACTAGGAAGTACTTAATAAAGAATGCTCTTGTAAAATTAACTCCCTTTCTATATTCCAGCAACCAGAAATAATCTTTGCAGGTAAAACTGCTCTGTACTCACCATTAGAATGTAGCAAAATTATAGCCATTAAATTCTGAATATTTTATTAAACAGTTTGTCTTCTCTGATATCCTTTATCTCAGTGGCTTTTGGATTGTTTTGAATACAACCCACAGTAGAAAATACATGCTTTAGTCAACCGCAATTCGAGTCCCAGATCTGGTGGCTTAAACTCACACCAGGCGCGTGTGCTATGTGCCCAAGATCCAGAGATGAGAATGGAGAAGGGATCACGGCATGGCCATCCCCTCTTAGTGGAGGGTGATTTCTCGCTTTCTGTCTCTCTGTCTCTTTCTGATGAGCGCACACACCCTTTGGGGGGGGGGGGGCTTTTACATACTAGAGAGCCAAAGTTCCAGCACAGTACTTAGTATTACAGAATTCTTAATTTATGTTAATCCCTTGTGTTCGTCCTTTTTCACTTGAGGAAGAAGGGGAGACTTAGAGATTCCATCAGGTCTGAAGTAGACCCAAGGATTATATATTCCCAGGTAAACACTTCCCAAGCAATGAAGTGATTCAGATGTAAGGCCACTTTTAAGACCCACAGCACCAACTCATCTTGATAGGATATTCCTTCTACTTAAAGTTTACTTTCAGGAAAAAGTAAATAGAAATAAATCTTGGTTTGGTTAGAGCCTACTATACTTACCTAAATGCCTACAGAGTTATTTTAGAATATATGTATCTAAGAAATAAGACCTATTTCCTGACAATTTTTCATTAAGGTGAATCCTAAATTTTAAACTCTTACACTTATTCCAGATATCCATATGAAGGGGTAAGAAGTCTTTTCTACACGGAAACAAATATCTCGAGTCACTCTGTAGTCATTACACCCAGGCCTTAATATTCTCTCCAAATGCCTGACCTCTGATACGACAAATTCAAACCCTCAAATTTGGCTACAAATACTCCTTTTCTCAGTACATTTGCTCAATTACTTCAGAGCTATTCTCTCATCTTAGAAGCTTTTGGTAACTTATCCTTCTACTTGCTTCCACACACCAAGGTCCCCTGATTTTCATTTCCTTCCTGAATCCTCTGCCCCAATGTACTATTGACACATCTCTCACTTAACTTCAACAGTGGCTGAATCCAATCAGCCTTTTGTATTGCAACAACCACCAGATTTCTGCCAAAGAAAATAATACAGCCAAGAGCTCTGATACTGTTACTATTGGGTCATCAGAAAAGTCATGATGTATTTTTCTATGTTTTTTCAATGCAAAAATGTGTCATGACTTTTCCAAAAACCCAATATATATTCATGTTCAATGAACTTAGTAGGGCTCTTCAACATTGCCTAGAAATAATGTTTCCACAGAAATTTTCTTTGCCCATATTTTTCAGTAACTGTATGATAAATATTTCCACTGTCTCAGTATCTCTGATTCTCAGAAACTCCATCACTCTCAGAAAGTCATTTCTGCTCTTAACAATGAAAAGTGCTATTTCCTGTGACCACCAAGGCCTCAGGAATAACAGTACCCTCCCTAACACATTCTTCTTCTCCATTAAAAAAAAAAAAAAAAAAAAAAAAAAAGAGCTATTGCCCTAGCTATGTTGGAGCAGATCCATAGCAGCATTGCTGCAAGATGCTAGAAGCCCCACAGGAGGGTTCTAGGTTCATGGCCCAGCTCTACCTGCACACACCTGGCATGCGTGAGACTGTGTGTGTAGGTTATAAGCAAATAATATGCCATTTTATATGAGAGCCTTAAGCATATGGATTTTGGTAACTGCAGGGACTCCTGAAACTAGTACTCCACAGATACTGAGGGATGACTATTTTCTGCTTCAACATTTAAATATGCAATGGTTTCTTTCACAAAACAAAACCAAAAACCTGCCTTAGCCTTTATTTCTAGCAGGTGCTCTGTCTTCTCAATCATCTCATCTCCTTTAACTCCTTCAAAAGGCTGGTTAATCCAAGCTACATATTCTTTTTTTCTCATTTTCTGTTTATTCCCCAACACCACCAATATGCTTTGTTCCTTCATACTCCTACAGAGACTAATTTCACCAAGATTAGGATTCTGGAACTAAATCAACCAAACGTTATCAGTCTATGTTTACCTTGCCTGAATTCTGAGCAGGATTTGAAAAGCTGCCTGTACTTATCTTCTAAAAGTACTCTCCTTCCCCTCATCTCTTCAACATATCCTATGTCTTTAGATATTCTTCTGTTTTCCTACTAACTAGCTTCTTTATTTCTACACTTCACTTTAAATGTTCCTCATGGCCAATCCTTTTAAATTTACCTGGGCAATGACACTCAAATCTATACTTCCAATCTAGCCATCTCTCTTAACCTCTAGACACAAATGACTACCCACCTTGCTATGTTGCAGACAATGCAAATTCATTATGTCCCAAATAAAATTCATCAAACTTTCCATCATCAACAAATCTCTCCTGTTCTAATTATGTTCTCCTTATCAGTAGTACCACCATCTATAATATGCTTAAATTGGGGGTTATTCTGATCTACCTCTATATGTGATCAATATTCAACATATATTGATTCTACCTTCTATCTCTAAAGTCCAGGAAGTTTTCTCTACACCCACTACCATTATGAGTCAAGTCAACCACTCTCTTTTGCATGGATCACTTCAACAGCACCCTGCTATCCCTTCATCCTTCTAATCCATCCTACAAAAAATGACTGAACATATACACATGCACAATAAATATCTAATGCAGACTGAAACATGAGGTTGTCAACAGAATAATTTTAAGCTACAAGCGTAAAATCATGCACTCTCTAAACATAAACCTTTCAATGGTTACCCTTTATTTTATTCAGAATCTTTTAACATGGCTCCAATCTAGACTCTACCTTTCACTCGAGCAGCAGATCTCTGTAGCACTTTCCCACCATATTGTTAGGCTCTATTTAGGTTCTTGGGCACACCATGATTTCTTGAATCTGAGAACAGAAAGGCCTCTCTGACTAGGATGCTCTTCCCTCACCTAAGTCCTATTTCTGTTCTGTTTTCACAATAAATAGCACTTTTCTTAGAAATGTCTTCCTTAGCCCTCAATCTGTTATCTTTTATTCCCTTTCTATAACATTAATGTATCTATAACTGAATATATTTATATGCCAGATATATTCAGTATGACTGTCTTAACCATTAGATTGTAAGATATTAAGCTAACCCATGAAAACTGAGACTGTTTATGGCTACATCCTTAAGCACAATGTTTGGCATATAAAGGTATTTGAACTGAACTATTCAAATGAAATGAATGAACCAGTTTTTGACTTCTGTTCAACTTTGACTTTACTCAACTTCTCTTTTTATTGAGTTTTTTTTTTTTTTTTTTTGCTATAGGGCACACAAGTTCGCTGGAAACAGGGCAAGACATAAAGTGAGAAAGTGACTCAAGTTTGCAAAGCATTAAAAATAAAAGTTACTGAAACCAGCAGTTGGCATAATAGTTATGTCGCTGAACTCCCATGTACTCGACCACAGTTTGAGTCCCAGACCCGGTGGCTTATTCTCACGCTGGGTGCGTGTGCATGTGTGCCCAAGATCTCAAGAGGAGAATAGAGGAGAAGGGATTGCAGTATGGCCATCCCCCCTGTGGGGTGATTTCTCGCTTTCTGTCTCTATGTCTCTCTCTGTCTGGCTGGCGAGCGCACACACCCTATAGCAAAAAACCTCTCCAAAAAAAAAAAAATGTTCCTCAGCAAACATGTTGTTGAAAACTAAACATATTATAGTTCTTTATATCAACAGGCCCAGATAATGGCTATTCTTCAGAGTTAGGAAAGCAACCTTAAGTCTTTAAAAGCATTACTTTAAACTTGCAATGGTCTTCACTGTGGTCATGGCCAGGTTTTGGAAATCACTAAATCAGAAACTCTTGAAGTCCCATCTAACAATCAAGCTCTCTAAATGACTCTGATGCACAATGAAGTTTGAAAACTATTGCCCAAGAAGTCCAGGTCAGATTCACAGGTTATGGCAATGTCATAATAATTAAGATGATTATGAACTATAAAATTTTGGGTTCTTAAAAAAAAAAAAAAAGTGTTAAAGGATGTATGCACTCACCAGAGAAAAAGACAAGGAAAGTGACAAAGCACTCCTCATGGGACATGGTCATGCCATAATCCCTTCCTTACTTCTCTTTTTGGGATTTTGGGCATGTATGCACATGTGCCCAGCATGTTTTTCAAGTCGCTGAATCCAGGACTCAAACCACACAGTTGACCATGTGGGATCAACCTGCCTACGGTGGCCCTGGTGGACCCACCCTCCCTAAAAAAGCCACTGGCTTGTCCAAAATCTTGGATTTTTTTATATCAACAAGTTTACCTTCAAATCAATGAGGAAGCCCTCAAATGGTCTATAAGGATTGTGGACAATAAGGTGGAAATTAAGTTGCTGTATAAGTAGTAGTTCATATTCCAAAATCTGTTCAAGGGCCTTCTCCTGTCCAAGAGGGCTCTCCCGAAGATTTCCAACAAACTGAGGACTAGAGACATTAAATTCATCTACTTTGCAGGCCAAAAATGCACACGTGAGCCTAGAGAAAAAAATATACACATACATATATTTTGAGAAACAGCTAAATATTTTATTTCTAAAACTATGTTCCAAAACTGTCCTAATATTCACAGTTGACTATCCTATACATTGTATGAAATAATTATTAACAAACAAAAAAACAGCTCTTATTCAAAACTTTATCCATTAGGAGGCACAGACAAACTATATTTAAATCATCATAAATATTGCCAACATTCAACTATCACTGATTCAGTGGCAGTGTCATATAGTTCAACCTAACTATTTGGAAAAACAAAATATCTGGGAACCAGCAGTTAGCATAATGGCTATGTTGCTGGACTCCTACATAGTTGACCGCAGTTCGCATCCTGGACCCGGTGGCTTAAAACTCACGCCAGGCACGTGTGTGTCCAAGATCCCGAGAGGAGAATGAAGAAGGGATTGCAGCGTGACCATCCCCCCTAGGGGGGGTGATTTCTCGCTGTCTCTCTGACTCCTCTGTCTGTCTGGCGAACGCACGCGCCCTATAGCAAAAACCTTTCCAAAAAAAAATTTTAAAAATCTGAGAAATAAAAATATTTTATTATAAGATGTAGAGGGAAGAGTTAAAAATACAACAGTACACACATATGTAATGTATGTGCATGAGAAGAAAAGCAGATTCGCAGCAAGGGACATTATAGAAAGCCACCAAAGGAAGTCTCTGATGACATTTATTGATAGATAGGTGAACCTATGAAATTCAGCAGGCCACTGTGTGAAATTCAGAGTGAGAAACTATTAAGAAAACTACTGAAAAAATCAAGATGGGAAATACTAAACCTTATTTGTAAGAATGAGGGCCTGCCCTTAACTGTTGGAAATGGCAATGAAATAGAAAAAATAAACAGGAACAATATGATTGACGGAAAGCTCTTTGTTGAATATTAACTAATTTCATCTTAATTTTTTCATTTTTTTCTAAGTACTATGCTTAAGGGTACTAAAGGGTGTATACACTATACATAAAGGGCCTTCTGTGCTTAGCAAAAAAACCCAAATATATCTTTGGGTTGCATAGCTATGGGATCTGTAAACTAATTGGATGTGGAAGGAGAGAAGTCACCACAAATGACTTTCAGTCTAAGCAAGTGGCACAATAAAGGTGTCATTAATAGAGATATTAAAGAAGTGGCTAATTTGACAAAAACAGAATTTGAATAAGCTGAAATTGGGTGCCATCTGTATTATAGGGGGTAATCATATATAGGTATCGTAAGTTGTAAATAGGAAAAAAGAATGCAAGCCTAAATCATTCTTGTTAGGAACTCAGTTCTCTCTGTCTCTCTCACACATAAACATGCAAATACATATCACAAATGCTTAAGTAATATAAATACTATAAAACAGTCATCTCAAATAAAAACAATAAATTGGACAGATTTACTTACATTATTATCCGGGGATGATATTCCATTACTGAGTTATTGAGATAAAAGCGCTTGAAATACATACAAGCTGTACCCTAAGGTTAAAAAATATATATATATTATTGGAATCTATTTGTGTTTATGTTACATGATAAATGTTGTGAAAAAACTTATTCATCCATGGTTTCTTTGAAAAGGTTCCCAATCTATTGATTTTTCTTTAATCAAAATAAATTGTGAGGGGAACCAGCAGTTAGCGTAATGGCTATGTCACTGGATTCCCACATAGTTGACCACGGTTCGTGTCCCGGACCCGGTGGCTTAGAACTCACACCGGGCGTGTGTGCGTGCGTGCCCAAGATCCCTAGAGGAGAATGGAGGAGAAGGGACTGCGGCGTGATCATTCCCCCTGGGGGGGTGATTTCTCACTTTCTGTCTCTATGTCTCTCTCTGTCTGGCGAGCGCACGTGCCCTATAGCGAAAACCTCTCCAAAAATAAATAAATAAATTGTGAGGACCAGCAGTTAGCTTGTAATGGCTATGTCACTGGACTCCTATGTAGTTGACTGCGGTTCGAGTCCCGGACCTGGTGGCTTAAACTCATGCCAGGCACATGTACGTGCGTGCCCAAGATCCCAAGAGGAGAATGGAGAAGGGATTGCAGCGTGGCCATCCCCCCTGGGGGGTTGATTTCTCGTTTTCTATCTCTCTGTCTCTCTCTGTCCTTCTGGCGAGTGCACGCACACTATAGCAAAAACCTCTCCAAAAAAATAAAAATAAATAAAAATAAAAATAAATTGTGAATACTATAGAAGCACCATACCCAAAAGACATTTTCCTACCCTTTGTCTACCCCACCTGGATAGACTTTCTTATGGTCACTGTATTTAAAATAAACACATATACTGCATGTGTGTGTTTATTTTAGAACTCACAGAAACAAAAATGTCCTGATGTAGAAAAATTCAAAATAAAAAAAAAAAATACAAATGTTCAAAAACCAACCAATTTTATAAAAATACTGACAATCCATAGGGGCAATAAGCCTTGCCTCTAAATCCACCCCAGGTCTGTGACACAACTGTGATCACTGCTGCTAAACTGAATTGTAGAGGCAGCACACACCATTTTTTATTGCACTATATGTATCAGATTCTGTGCCAAGAATAAAACTGTATTTTAATCCTTATACAACCTGATTAAGAATTACTATTTTCACAGAGAAGGAAACTGTGTATCAACAAGTTTAACTGACTTATTCCAGGTCACACATCTAATAGCAGACAGGACTGGACTGAACTAAGACTTGCCAGTACTTTTTAACACTGTATCATTTGGCTAGAGCTAATGAAATAATCACTTATCTATTTTATGATAGAAAGAGTATTCCCTTTAAGTAGTTTAAAGGTTTCCTATTAAGTGAAACAGTAACAAAATTCTTCACCAATCATAAATAAGCATGTTGTAGAAAGATAAATTTCCACAGAGTTTATTCAAGGGCTCAGTTTCTTCCTTTAAGAAGATCTCTTAAACCTAATATCTCATGTTATAATTCTTTTACTGGAAGAGAACAGAATCAAATCTGGGGACTGAAACTAATCAAATGTATCTAAAATTCTTCACAAATTTGATAAACCAAGAAAAAGAAAACACTATAAATACATTTGAACTTCATATTTTTTATATACTTCAATTGTTTTCAACTATTAAAATGGAGATAATTTCCTAGAGGATTATTTTCCATTAGGTTGTAAATTATTCACCCTGTGTAACTTTAAAACTTAAGCCAGACTTTCATATTTGATCTTCACAACAAACCTCTGAGATAATAAATAAAATAGTTGACACACCTTCCCACTTCGGTATTCTTCTTTATCTCTGCTTTTCAATCTCAGCTACCTGTTTCTCCTCACCATTGCCTATACCAGTAAAAAAACAAATCCAAGACAACCATGGACAATTATTTTTAACCAAAGATAAAACTCCACTTTCTAATTATAAAGGTTTTAAAAAACTTATGGCATGAGTTTCAGCTGTGACATGATTACAAATGATGAATGAATGATCTCAAACATGCATCTGAAAGAATGAAAAACACACTAGCCTGTATTCTGATACCAGTTCTTCTGCTCAGTACTTGAGAATGAGAAGGTAAAAGTAATATTTTTCTTTATAAAATGAGGATGTCATAACCCACCCAAGAGACCTCAAAATTCTATTGAATATTTGGACTAGCAGATGGTATAATGGTTATGTAGCTGGACTCCCCATGGTTGACAGTAGTTCAAGTCCCAGATCCAGTGGCTTATACTTATGCTGGGGATATATGCGTACATGCCCAAGATTCCAAGAAATAATGGAGCAGAAGGGATTGCAATGTGGCCATCCCCCGAGGGTTGATTTCTCTTTCTGTCTCTCTGTCTCTGTCTTTCCAGCGAGAGCACACACACCCTATAACAAAAATCTCTCTTAAAAAAATTCTATTGACTATGAAATGAGACTTGAATACTTTATAAGATACGGTGTAGGATTCATGATTTAAGGTCCATATTGAAAAATACATAATGTGACAAAAAATGAACGAACATAATGAAGATGAATTTTTTTTTTTGAGGGGTTTTCGCTATAGGGCGCGTGCGCTCGCCAGACAGACAGAGAGAGACATAGAGACAGAAAGCGAGAAATCACCCCCCAGGGGGGATGGTCACACCGCAACCCCTTCTCCTCCATTCTCCTCTCGGGATCTTGGGCACGCACGCACACGCGCCCGGCATGAGTTCTAAGCCACCGGGTCCGGGACGCGAACCATGGTCAACTACGTGGGAATCCAGCGACATAGCCATTACGCTAACTGCTGGTTCCTATGAAGGTGAATTTTAGAGAGAAGAGTTGATATGTAATTTAATTACAAATTTAGAAAAAGTCAGATTTCATAAGGCAGCTAAAGAACATTATACTCCATCACTAACATAACTTACCACAACAGACCTGGGCATTGCTGGCTTAAACACTGAGCAGAATTCCAGTAATCTTTTTTCATAGTATTTGCAGAGTGTCATTTCTTCATGAGGTTCAAGAAAGACTGGATCATTTGGAAGAACCTTTAGATAAAAAATTACAACACAATTTTAAAAATTAATCATAAAACAGTTTTTCTGTCCAGATACAAACATAGTTTGTATTACCAACAAAGGGAAATATCCCACACCTCAATTTCTCTTTATATATATGCTAATCATTAAACAAAAACTTAAGGAAAAAAATTTTTTTATTGCCAGGCAACGTGTGTATTTGCCAGAGAGAGGAAGCACCTCCTGGGTAGGTCTGGTCATACCATAATCCTTTTTCCACCATTTCTCTATTCTACCAGGATTTCAGGGACACACATTTCAGGTCAACAGGCTAGGGATTTCAACTGCAGTAGCAACAGGCTGCTATGGACCTGGCTCCGTATGCAAAACACTTAATCTCTGAGCTACTGAGTCGGTCTGTGAAAATATTTAACAAAGTAAAACTATACAAGTATTATACAATTCCTTGGCATATTAGCTGAACATTACTTCAGTTGGATATTAAGTTATTAATATAAACATTTGTGATAGTGTGGATTTGCTCACAGGCCTAATGTCATTACTTAGGCATGTTTTTTAGTTTGCTACAGGTGGGAGTGTTCACCAGAATTAGAGGAAAATTTAAAATATTAGCCCACAAGGGAGATGATCACATTGTAATCCTTCTTCCACCATTCTCCTCAGGATTTGGGGAATGCATGCGCACCCAGCATGATTTGCAAGTCACTAGGTAGAGACTAGTTCCATGTAGTCAGGCATGTAGGATCCAGGATCTAGACACCTTAACCTCCACTCCACCAGTGGCCCTACTTACATATCTTTTAAAAGATGCAAATTTTCAATGATTGGAAAGCTTACAATATCCTCTTCTTAGTCAATCACATTAGTCAACTCAAGTTGACTTAAAAATTCAAAAACTTAAATTTGCTATTTTAAGTTACCAAGTTTGTGGTCACTTTTTTTAAAAAGGCAAATTACAGGTGCTAAAAATTAGTGACATGAAATAGACATGAACTAAAGATCAAAGTAAAGCAGCTCAATACCAACAGGCTTGCAGGCACTGAACACTTACTGGAGTGCAGTCTGTGCTAGAATAGGTGATGCGTCTTGTAAAAAAAGACTAAACCAGGTTAGTAGTTCTGACAGAAGGGACTTGCCTAGTGGGCTAAGGCCAGAACCACGTTCAGGCCATTGTTCTGTGTAGATGGTCTCCTGTCTTCCTCGCTCACCCAAACCATTCACCACCAGGCTGCCAGAAGGCTCTTTCTAAAACGGAGACCTGATAAACTTCCCATTTTAAACCTTTCAAAGACGTCTATATATTTCAAGCGCTTTACTTCTACCACTGCAAGTTCCCTGCCTACTTTATCCAACTTTGTTAGCACAAGAACTCCCTTTTAGTCACACCTACTCACAAGCCTTCCACGGCCCCGCCCAGCAGCTTCTGACCGCCCACTTCGCACTTGTGGCTCCACGTCTCCGCATCCATTACTGCGAAAAGCCTTTCCCAGCTCCTTTGCTAGATAAGTGAATGGCTCTCGTACGACACACTACCTTGGCATCGTACCAAGTCCTTACTTCTCCATGTTATAGACTGGTTACTTAGTCAGCCACTCGACTATGGGGATGGCGCCGTTCGTTTCTGTACCATGGAACCGGACAAAAGGTGCTCGCCTATTTGAATAGATAAATTTATGCCCTCCACGCCGTGGGGAAAGAGGCGGGCGGGAGGGAGGCCGTGCTGGAAGCCCGAAGAGTTCCGCAGCTGCTCTAGAGTTCAGAGCATAGAAACAGGAACCGGATAGGCAGGGCGGCGGCCAGACACCTCACCTTCCCGTTCGCCACCGCTTTGCATTTGAATTTGCGGTTGGCGTCCGCTCGCAGCCGTGCCAGCTGCTCCTCACTGGCGAAGGTCCAGTGCCGCTTCTGGCTACTGTTGTGGTACATCGTGGAGTCCGAGACCCGGAGAGCCTGCACAGGAACACCACAGACGTAGCAAGACCGCGCACGGCCCTGCTACGCCACTCAGTGGATCCTCGGGTCCGGCGCGGGCACGCTGACGTCACGCTCACGTGCCGCGCCGTCCGCCGTCGCGTTTCCGGAGCGGACCTGAGGGGAAAGCTCCCGGGCAGGTCGGGCTCGCGCCCGCGCGCGGGCGGGCGGAGCCTCAGCTCCCCACGCCCCTCTCTGGGAATCGGAGTCCCAGCACCGCCTCTTCCGGCGAGCTTTAAAGGCGAACCGCCGCGCACAGGCGAGGGTGTCTGAAAGAAACGCCCACTGAGGGAGTGTGCTAGGCTGGCGTGAGTGCACGTAGGTTCGTCCGGAGTGGCGGAAGGGTTGCGCAGGGTGTCAGCTCTGAAATAGTGGTTTCGCTTCAGCGAAAAGAGCTGTGGGAAAAGTAGGCCAATCTCATCTGGGGAGAGGATGGGACGGAAAGAATGGAAAGAATAAGTATGGTCCTAAGCCGGAAGCATTCCTGGCTCTTCTGAGGAAGAGTTGTGGACACCAGTGTTCTTGGAGCACTACCGAAAATCTCGGAGACTGGAACATGGTTGAAAACTGGAACGAGTGGATACATGTTATCCCTTACTATTCCGCTACTAAAGTACGATCTCGCCTCTCTCTCCTCTCCTCTCCCTCCCCTTACACACACGCGCGCGCGCACACACACACACACACGTGTATATACAATTTCGATTTTTATTTTGAGGTGTTTTTGCTATAAGACGCCTGTGCTCGCCGGAAAGAGAGAGACAGAGACAGAAAGTGAGAAATCACCCCCCTCCCCCCCCAGGGGACGGGGTTGGAGTGGGGGTGCTGGTCACTCTGCAGTTCCTGCTCTTCATTCTCTGGAAATCTTGGGCATGCACACGGGCCAGCGTGAGTTTAAACCACCCGGTCTTGGACTCGAACTATGGTAGACTGCATGGGAGTCCAGAGACATAGCCATTACGCCAACTGTTGGTCCCTATACAATTTCTTTTAAGGTTTTTCCTATAGGGTATGTGAGCGTCCAGAGAGATACATTGAGAAGGAAAGTGAGAAATGGAAGTGGAGTGGGGTCAGGGAAGATGGCCACTCCATAATCCCTTCTCCTCCATTCCTTCCTGGGATTTTGGACAGGCGGACACTTAATCCCAGTGGCCAGATGTCCTGTAGTCCTGTACTTAAACCTTGCTCAGACAGGTGAGAGTCCAGATCTTTAACCACTGGCCGTTTTCCGCCTCCACCCCCCACACACTTTTCATTTGCTTTTTTTTTTTTTGAGAGGTTTTTGCTATAGGGCGCGTTCGCTCGCCAGACAGACAGAGAGAGACAGAGAGATAGAAAGCAAGAAATCACCCCCCAGGGGGGATGGCCACGCGCAATCCCTTCTCCTCCATTCTCCTCTAGGGATCTTGGGCACGCACGCACACGCGCCCGGCGTGAGTTTAAGCCACCGGGTCCGGGACTCGACCGCGGTTGACTACGTGGGAGTCCAGCGACATAGCCATTACGCTAACTGCTGGTCCCTCATTTGCTTTTTTTACCCCTACCTTTTTACTCCATTGTTTCCACTGTTTTCATCTCTAGAACCAAAGAGGTATGATGGTTTTAGAGTTTTGTGAAGTTCCCATATTCATTATTGTCTCTATGTAACCATCCAATTAGCTATCATTAATATGATAACGATGTATAATTTTTTTTATTACAGGACTTTGAAAATTACATTTAAAATAGAAAATTTAGCGGGACCAGCAGTTAGCATAATGGCTATGTCGCTGGACTCCCACGTATTTGACCGCAGTTCGAGTCCCAGACCCAGTGACTTAAACTCACGCCTGGTGCGTGTGTGCGTGCCCAAGATCCCGAGAGAAGAATGGAGGAGAAAGGGTTGCGGAGTGGCCATCCCCCCTGGGGGGTGATTTCTCGCTTTCTGTCTCTATGTCTCTCTCTGTCTTTCTGGCAAGCTCACGGGCCCTATAGCAAAAACCTAAAAACCTCTCAAAAAGAAAAAAAAATAGAAAATTTGCCTTGAATTCAAAGCCTTTACTGATTTTGTCCCATTTAGGCATACCTTATACTCCTGTGTATAATACATCTAGTCAGAAATATTAATTTATCTAAAGTTAATATAAACTTTTCTAAGATATACAAAAATCAGTTAAAGATGATGTGATCCAGAGAATTTAGGCCTTTAAAAGCCCACACAGGTAAAAAGAGGAGGCAGAAGGACTTTAATTCTGCTTTCTATGAAAATGGTTTTGGAAACTTAAGAAAAAGCTAGTCTTTTCTTTTTGTTTCATTTTTGTTGGCTGTAGTTAAAGGTAGACCATGTCCCATTGTAGGATGCTTTCTCCTGCTCAGTGTTTCTCTCTCTCTCTGGCCAGTACATATACCTGGCAATTAACAAAAAAGGGTGAATTCCTCACCATGAGATATTTATCATGTATAGAATATAACTTAAGATATATGTATGTATGTATGTATGTATGTATTTTATATAGTTTTGGGTAAAGTTATAAAGCAGGGTCTGAGAAACTATAAAAGCCTTAGGATTGAAAGTTTTTGTAGGTGTAAAATGTAAAGGATATGGAAAATTCCTATAGGTTGGATGGGTTGGTAGGACTAAAGAGAAGAAACAACTCTAAAGTAAAGATGTTCACATATGAATCAATGTAATAGTCATCAGGGACCTTGTTAAGACACAAACCAGGGACCAGCAGTTAGTGTAATGGCTATGTCACTGGACTCCCATGTAGTCGACCACAGTTTGAGTCCCAGACCCAGTGACTTAAACTCACTCTGGGCATGTGTGCGTGTGTGCCCAAGATCCCAAGAGGAGAATGGAGGAGAAGGGATTGCTGTGTGGCCATCCTCCCTGGGGGGTGATTTCTCTCTTTCTGTCTCTCTGTCTCTCGCCCACCCCCTATAGCAAAAACCCCTCAAAAAAAAAAAAAAAAAAAAAAAAAAAAAGAAAAGACAAAACCAGAGATTCCAGTTTAGTAGGTCTGGAGTGGAGCCCCACTGAAATAGACTCTTAACAAGACTTCTCTCAAGGTCAGTGTTTTCAGACTTTTAAAGAGCTTGTTAAAATACAGATTGCTGAGTTTCTAATTCAGGCAGTCTTGGCAAGGCACGAGCACTTGTACTTCTAACTAGTTCCCAGGTAATGCTGGCAATATGGATTACATTTTGAAAACCACTATTTCAGTTGATTTGTTATACCCTTGGTGATGAGAAGAATCATAGTGTTCATATCATGGTAGGTCTTTGGTTTTACTCTTAAGTTTATTGAAGGAAACCATAATTTTATTCCTTGTTATCTTATGAGAGAAAATAAAGGAACATACTTAATAATCTTTTAGCCTTACTTGGATAGCATGCCTATGGTGAAATTCATATGTTTAAAAAAATCAATAATTACATTTTTTTCTGGCTGAATTAAAGAAAATTTCATTCTCCCATAGTAGGATTAAAATATCCTTTGGTTATAGAATAATAAAAATGACTAACCTCTTTAGTCATTTTTGGAGAGGTTTTTGCTAGAGGGCGTGTGCGCTCTCCAGAAAGACACAGAGCGAGAGAGAGAGAGAGAGAGAAAGTGAGAAATCACCCCCCCGGGGGGATGGCCATGCCACAATCCCTTCTCCTCCATTCTCCTCTCGGGATCTGGGGCACGCACACGCATGCGCCCAGCGTTGAGTTTAAGCCTCCAGGACCAGGACTCAAACCGTGTTCGACTACGTGGGAGTTCAGTGACATAGCCATTATGCTAACTGCTGGTCCCTTTTCCTTTTTTCTATATTTATTCAATTTTATTTATTTACTATTATTTTTTAATTTTCCCAGGGAGAGAGAGAGAGAAAGCAAGGCGCCAGGACCAAGACTCAAACCACAGTCGGCCATGTGGGAGTCCAGTGCTTTAACCACCACAACACCTTCCGGATCCTGTCGCTTTATAATATAGAATTTAGATGATAAAAATAATTGAAGGACTAGTTTGTCTTCAGTTTCTCTGTTTACTGCTCATGTTCTGGAACAATGCTTGGCAAACTATGATTCACAGACCATATCTACCTAATGATTCTTTTTCCATGGTCCAGAAGAATTTTTTTTTTCATTTTTTAAATGGTTCAAAAAAGAAAATCAAAAGAAGGATAGTATTTCATGGCACAAAAAATGATATGAAATTCATATTTCTGTGTATTACTTGAATTAGGGCTATTCAGAGAAACAGAACCAATAGGATATACATATAATATGTAATATTATATAGTATAATTGCCTCATACAGTTATGGAGGCTGAAAAATTCCATGATCTATCCATGCCGGAGACCCAGAAGAGCTGGTGGTGTAAGTTTCAATCCAAGTGTAGAAGATCAATGCCATTATCTCAAAAACAGGCACCAAGGGTGCATTCTCCTTTATTCTACTTTTTGTTCCATTTAGGCTTCCTACAGACTGAATGATGTCTGCCCACCTTAAGAAAGACAACTGTGGGGACCAGCAGATGGTGTAATGTTTACATTGCTACATTCCGATGTAGGTGACCATAGTTTGAGTCCTGGACCTGGTGGCCTAAAACTTACACCCTGCGTGTGTGCGTCCACACACGTGGAGGCGTGCCCACAATCCAGAGAGGAGAATGGAGGAGAAGGGATTGTGGTGTGTCCATCCCCCCAGGGGCGTGATTTCTCCCTTTCTGCCTCTTTGTCTCTCTGGGAGGGGGAAATGCCCAAAGAGAAAAAAAAAAAAAAAAAAACCCTCTCAAAAAAAAAGAAAAAAGAAGAAAAGAAAGACAACTGTACTTCACTAAGCCTAAGCCTACTGATTCAATGTTGATGTCATCCATTAATACCCTAAGAAACATACCCAGAACAATGTTTAACCAAGTATTTGGGCAATCCATGTCCAGTCAAGTTGACACATAAAATTAATGATCACAAGATCACCCCTTGTCAACATAGCACACATACACATCTCCTTAAACTATACTTAATCTCCAGATCCAGCAGGTGGCATAATGACTAAGGTACTAGACTCCCACATGATTGACTGAGTTTTAAGTCACAGGCCTGGAAACTTGAAAATCACACCAGGTGTGTGTGTGTGTGTGTGTGTGTGTGTGTGTGTGTGTGTGTATGAGCTTGCCCCAAAT